TAATGATTGCCAGGTGTAGACTTTCTTTTTTTACATTTTTATTTATTAATGAGAGACACACAGAGAGAGAGAGAGAGAGAGAGAGAGGAGAGGCAGAGACACAGGCAGAGGAAGAAGCAGGCTTCATGCAGGGAGCCCGATGTGGGACTCCATCCCGGGACTCCAGTATACACCCTGGGCCTCAGGCAGGTGCCAAACCGCTGAGCCACCCAGGGATCCCCAGGTATAGACTTTCTAATCCCATCATTTCTTCTACATTATTCATGACTTTGTATTACAATAGCAATAACCAGTTATTCAGTGGGTTGTAATCTGTTACTGTCATTATTGTTTTGGGAGGCAAATTGCCCCCATGTAGCCAGTGGAAAGCCCTTCTGGCTGGTTCCTCTGGCCCTTTGACAGGTCCTATCTCTCTATCTTTCTGTCTTTCCTTCCTTCCTTCCTATATTCTGGGCTCATCTTATACACTCCATGTCTTAGCCCTGGAATCAGACATTTCCCCAAACATCCCTGGTTCCTTTTAGTAGTAGATGGGATTTAGAAACCAAGATCTGGCCATTTAGTGTGCCCACTACTACTGGGCCCTCAGAGCAGACAGAGATAGAAAACATGTGCATATGTACACGTGTGCATGTATATACACATGACTAAGTGTGTAGGTACACAGACTTATGTAGATATATTTTTATATAACACATCTATAGTTCTGTAACTGTGTGTATATATCATAAAACTGTGAACTTGTACAGTACCTCTAACTCAAATGTGTTATCTTGTGGTTCTTTCTAACCTTTTCCTAAATTTCTTCTCTGCCAGTGAGAAACTTAGCTCTACTTAAAAAATATCTACTTACTTATTTGCTCGCTGTGTCCAGCCTCTCGACCACACTGTTCCTCTCCTCAGCCTGCCGCCTCTGCTTTCCCCTCCAGTCCACACCCTTGGCCTCTCAGCCTGTCCTTTGCTCCCCCGTGTAGCTGCCCACCTCTCCTCCCCACATTCTCAACCACTGTGCTAACTTGCCTCTTCCTGGAAGAAAAAAATGTCTCTTTTATATATTTTTAAGTGTAAAAATGAACTCCCTACCACACACACATACATACATTTTTGGTGTAGTGGCATATATATTTACATATAGTCGATTTTTGTTATTTGTGGCAGTTATGTTTATAAAGGTGCCATAAACATGGAATTAGCAAATACTGCACCATTGCTTTTAGGAGAAATATGGAGGCAGGTTCCTGGCAGCCTCTGGTCACAACATTTTTATCAAGTAATCACTACCTAACTTTATGTGTGCTTACTGTTCAGGGACACCTTATTTAATACACATTGTTGCTTCATTAGCATGGAATTTATGGCCAACAGCACTATAATTCATGCACAAATGTTTATTTAACACCTAACTTTTTTCCCCTGGGCTCATCACAGCTTTCTTGTACTCAGGAACACTAGACAGCATTTTGGCATGAGAAGTAGGGGCTGCTTTCAACAGTGACATCACCCAACAAAAATGCAAAAACATGCCACTAAATAGGTCCTCAGAAGGACATGCATTTGCAGCATGAGCTGAAGCAAGAAGGCAGGACAGCACTGTGTTTGACCTCAGCTGGGAGTGAACGTTGGGCAATTCAGATATTTCACTGGTCTGACCATATCCACAGATGGCCACAAAAGTCCTGGCAGCATTGATTTGGGGATTAACAAATAAATTTTAGTGAGCAGGCAAACTTAAAATACAGAATCTGAAAAAAAAGGATAGACTGTACTTACATATGAAAAAATAAAACTAAAAGGTTACCGGGTAGATAAGAAAAGCCATCAAAAATAACATTAGCCTATAGGCATTGGGTTTGTGGGTTGTTGTTTTTTTTGTAAGGAGAATATCTTCATACATTTCTGATCTATTTATAATTTTACATTTTAAAAAGAAAAGGGGCCCTAGGCTGCATCTGGGTATCTAGAACCTTAAAAGACTGGAAATTTTCTTCCTCCTGTTCTAATAGGCTGTCCTTCTCTGGTCTGGGAGGCATCCTTTCTACTGATCTTTCAGGGACCGACTCTGTGGATTTGCTGTCTCGGCTTTGGTCTGCCTATTTGTGGACTTTTTTGTTTTTTAAAGTCCACATGACTTTATTCATGAGAGATACACAGAGAGAGGTAGAGACACAGGCAGAGGGAGAAGCTCTGTGGGGATTCTGACACGGGACTCGATCCCAGGACCCCAGGATCATGACCTGAGATAAAGGCAGACACTCAACCACAGAGCCACCCCGGTGCTCCTATACATGGACTTTTGGATGAAAGAGGAATGAACTTCTGTCTTCTTTAAGTTGCTGTTATTTTGGGCCTTATGACAATAGCAAAACCCATCTGTAAAGATGAGTTTCATCAAGAACTATAGCTGTTGGGCACCTGGGTGGCTCAGTCGGTGGAGCGTGTGCTTTTGGCTCAGGTAATGGTCCCAGGGTCCTGGGATTGAGTCCCAGATCGGGCTCTCTGCTCAGTGGGGAGCCTGCTTCTCCCTTTCCCGCCTACTTATGCTCTGTCTTTTGCTATCTGTCTCTCTCAAATGAATAAATAAAATCTTAAAAAAATAATAGCTGTTAACCAAGACTGATGGGTGCTTTGATGGTAACAGTTTACCTGTATCAACGGCTTCTCAGTGCATACCTTCACCTTGAGATGGGGGTCTGTTTTTACAGATTCCCATCCACTCCAGATGCAGAAGGTTGAACTCCCATAGCTAGTCAGAATTTGAACCCAGAACTGATTTCAGAGTCTGAACTTCTCAACAAAGGACAAAATGTTTGAATCTGGGGCTGAAAATCAGGACATGGGATGCTGAAGTACTTTATTATCAGAACTTGTTGGAAGGGTTTCCATTGCTTCTAGGAAAATGCATTGGTTTGAGGACTCACTTCTTCAAATTTGTGAAGGCTTTTCTTTCTCATGTCTCAGCCAGTCCTCTGGGGAGGAAAAAAAATCTAATTGGAACCCATGAGATGAGATCTTTCTTCTAAAACAAGCAGTTCTTTATAGACCTACCTGTAAGCTTTTTTGGGATCATGCCTTGAAGGTTCATAGGAATTCAGAGATCTGTGATGATCCTGTTGTTTCAAAAGGCTTGCCAGGTCCCAGTGGGGGAACCTCTTTAACAGGTGAATAATCAAGAGATTGATCTGTAGGGAATCTAGCTTCTTAAAAACAGGAGTGAAAGTCCCTATACAGGCAAATCATGTGTCACAGTGAGGTCATTCTTTGGAGGCTGGAGAGCGGAGAAAGACAGGTTATCACCTGGAGAGCCTTGAAATGTGTGTGTTCACTCTGAGATCCCACAGTTACTGTAAGATGAAAATATTCCTGAATGAATGGATCTAATTAGAAAATAGAAAAACAATTGAACCCCTCTCTGATGAACTTTAGAGCACCACTATCCACGAGAAATACCACGTGGGCCACCTATGTAAAAATTTTCTGGTAGCTGAGGCTCAGTTGGTTAAGCATCCAATTCTTAATTTCAGTTGAGGTCATGCTCTCAGGGTCATGAGATCAAGTCCCACCGTGGGCTCTGTGCTCACCAGGGAGGCTGCTTAAGATTCTCTCTCTCCGTCTCCCTCTGCCCCTCCCCCTGCTCGTGCATGCTCTCTCTCTAAAACAAAATCTTTAAAAAAATTTTGATAGCCACATACAAAAAAATAGGTGAAACTAACTTAAGTAATACATTTTTAAAGCCAGTATGTCTAAGATAGTGTCATTTCCACATTTAATCAATATTTCAAAATATGAACAAGATATTTGATATTCTGTTTTAGACCCAGTCTTTAAAACCCAGTATATGTTTTGTACTTACTGCTGCTGCCATTTTGGTCAGCCGAGGTATAGAGGGTCTGTCTCCCACCCCCACATCAATGTCAGATGGTCTTTTACCCAACCGCAAAGTGCAATTGTAAGTCTCTTGAAAGATGCAGAATGGTGAACGCGATGTGTGTTACTGCTGGGCTTACTCAGGAGACTTTGGCCAATGAAGGTGTGGAGGAGTTAAGCCAGTCAACAACATAGAAAGTGGACATGGTGGCATGATGGACTGAATCATGCTCCCTTCTCAAGGTCATGAGATCAAGTGCCACAGTGGGCTCTGTGCTCAGCAGGGAGTCTGCTTAAGATTCATATGTGGAAGCCCTAACCCCCAAGACCTCAGAATGTGACTTCACTTGGGGATAGAGTCTCCAAAGAGGTGATTGAGTTGAAAAGAAGCCATTAGGGTGGGCCCTGATCCAGTACGACGTGTCCTTGTAACAAAAGGAAATGCCGACCCAAGTACCACATCTATGAGCCAGGGAGAGAGGCCTCAGTAGAACCCAACCAGCCAGTACCTTGCTCTTGGACTTCCAGAAAATAAATTCCTATGGTGCAAGCCACCAAGTCCGTGGTACTTTGGTAGTCGCAGCCCTAGCAAGCTAATGTGGGCAAGTTGGCTGGGGGCATCAGAAGACCATGATTTGACCATGAAAGGATTACAAGTGGCCTTTGGGACAACTGAGAATTTGTTCTACTGTCCTCCTACTCTTGCGTCTAGCTGAATTCTATCAATGAGTGACCCCTGGTGTTTGGGGGCCTCCGATGGATGAGACTCGGGGAAAGGAGAGGAATGGGGGTGGGTGGGTAAGAGTTGTTCAAATCCCTATCCCTTATCCTCTGTGATGGGCCACCACGCCTCGTTCCCTGGGTTCCTGGCAAGTGGCACTTACTCCCACCAAGGTTTCTGACCAAAGGCCTGCTCCAGATAAACTACAAAATAACACTTGGGCATTTCTCTGGTAGGGAAAGCATGACCTAGAATCCCTGGCAAGCAAAGATACATTCATGCGTGGCCTCTCCAGCTCTGCTCACAGACCCGCCTGCCACAGAGGAGAGACCACGTCTGTTGGACTTGTTCAAGGCACAGCCCAGCAAAGCCAGTCTCACCGTTGGGACCACCAAGAGCAGCTCCACCAGAGAAGTCAGCGGTAAAAGTTTTCAATTTGCTTTCTGTATTTCTGGGTTACAAAATGTCTCCTAATCTTGGTCGTCGGACCTATCGAGAAAGAGACCAGTTCAGATGTGAGGATAAAATAAAAGTTCGCATGTCCCGTGTGTGGCCAACAGGGTCCCGTGACCGGGGCTGGCTGGGGCTGGCTCTGCCATCGACTTCGTGGGCGCACCGCCGTCACCATCGGCGTGGGGATGACCGCCCTGCCCTCGCCTTGGGCTGTGGGGAGGACTGTGTGAGCTGCCAGGCAGACAGCATCCTGAACTCCGTGCCTCGTGTGGACAATGCCCCCAGCGGAGAAGGCACGCCACCCCAATTTTACAGGTGAGAAAATGGGCTCAGAGAGGGCCAGTTGCTCTGAGGTGACCCAGCATGTGCATGGCAGGGGCAAGACTTGAATTCAGGCCCTGATCCACACCCCAGGCTGCTCATGGGCTCTGGGTCACCACAGCGTTCAGGCTTCCTCAGCTGGGTCCTGAGCAACCCCCCCACCCCAGGACTGCATTTTCAACTTGTGGTTGAAAGAACTAAGGATCAGAGGGCCAAGTCACTTGGAGGGGGCAGGACTTGAACCCAAGTTGTTGGAGGTTGTGTGTTTGCCGTTCACTCTAACTCTGCAATCCATGCCGTCAGACTACAGCTGAGTGCTGAGAACAAGCCCCAGAAGGGACATCGATGGAAAGCAGGACCCCCACCCACCCGGGAGTGAGCCCTCCCTTCATGGGGCAGACGGACAAAGATCAGTTAATACGTAGGGTAGGTAATTTCAGACTATGTTGTGTTACGGGGGCAAGACGGCAGCAGTATAGGGGGTGTGATGTGATGGTGAGCGACAGGGCCGCCTATTAAGGGCGGTGGTGAGTCCCGTTAGCCAGGATGGTCAGAAAAAGGCCACTCGAGGAAGTGACCTGTAGGGTGAGAGGGTGAGACCTAGACAATGAGGAGGAGCCAAAGAAGTGAGGGGGGGAGGGCATTCCAGGTCAAGGGAGCTGTAGGTGCAAAGGCCCTGAGGTGGAACTGTGCTTGAAGAGTTGTGGGAACAGCAGGGAAGCTGAAAAGGAGAGGTCAGCAGGAGAAAGATCATGCAGAGTCAGAATGAGGAGTTTGGCTTTTATTCCTAGAGCAGAGGGTGTGCTGCCCTGGGGAGGAGGGACACGTGCGTGTGTGTGTGCGCGTGCGTGGGCACATGCGTGGTGTGGGGGTGGGGAGGAGGAGAAGGGACGTGTGTGTGGGGGAGAGCTGTGAGCTGGAAGTGGACCCTCAGACCCCCAGAAAAGGGCACATCTCCCCAGAGCCCATGTGGCCCTGGACACGAGCAGGGGACCAGGCCACCTGCTCTCCGGGCTGCTCACCCAGCTCTCCATTGTGGACAGAAAAGTCCTTCTCCAGGATGACCCACTTCTGGATCCTCTGTGCATTAGAAATGGCTTCCTGATTCACAGCATCTATGCCTTGCTGGATGGCCTTGTAGACCAGGGGGTCCTGCAGCTCCAAAATCTCAGAGACGGTGGACACATGGCTCCCCAGTTTCCGGCAGAACTGAATGGCCTCCAAGCTTAGCTTGTCCAGTGGCTCTCCATTCCTCCTATCGACCTCACACTGCCCCCAGGACACCCTCGTCACCACACTCAGTGGCCACACTCACTCCCTGGCCACACCTGAGGACCAGGAAGTGGGTCCCGGACCACGGGGGGTGCGCCCTCTGGACCCTGGGGTGGAGACCCCCGCAGGACGGCAGACCCAATGTTACCTTCAGCGTCAGCAGGATGCTCAGAAACTTTGCCTTATCTCCCACTAAGACGGCATTACTGATTATGGGGATCTTCTCTTTAACCATGTTCTCAATGGGAACAGGGGCCACGTTCTCACCGCCAGCCGTGATGAGGATTTCTGGAACAAAGCGTGGCTCAGTGAGGCTTCAGCAGGGACGGGACGAAAGCCTCACCTCCTCGAGGATGAGCGGGGACAAAAGCTGGCACAGATGACCGCTCACTTAGAAAACCCCAGAAGCAGAGGACCACCCCTGCCCATGGCCGGGACTCCCATCATGCCTTTCTCCAAGCCACAGACCCAGTGTCACTCTGCCTCTCCTCCCTTGTCTCCTTGGAATTCCCATCCAATGTCCAAGTCCTGTGCACTTCACTTGGACAGCACTGTCCCAAGTCCTCCAGAAGTCTTGCTTGGAAGATAGTGCAGCGCCTCTGGCCATGCCCCGTCTCTTGTCTCCTGATTTGTCTGCCACTTGGCAACCCCCGAAGAACCTTCCAGTGAATTGTGTCAGCTGTTTCCCCAGCCTCTCAAATTCTCCAAGAGCTCCTCCTTCTGCCCCAGATATGTTCCACCTGCTCTCTCATCTAAGGATGCTGGCTGCCTCCCGTCCCACCCACCCAAACTCTCTGTTCTCACCCCAGGATCTTTCAGCCATCCGTACTGCGGTCAAGGCGGTGGTAATCATTTGTTTGCGATGGACACCCGCGGGTGGTGTCTGCCACCGACTCAGGTATCCAACCCACTGTTTCTTCAGGGAACTCTTACCCATCTCGAACCGCTTGTGGTTTGGGCCAGGGCTACGGGGTGAGCATGTGACCAGGTCCGACCTGTCAGCATACTCTACTCTCTGCAGTGGTTCATTTTTAAATGGGATCCAGTGAGAGGCCAGACGTAAAACTTTTGCTGCCCATTGGTGCTTCAGACGAGCCTCGACTGTTGGCAGTCGTCTCGTCACCCAGTGGGAAAAGCCTCTCCAAGAGTGGCCCCAATGCCAAGGACGGCTCAGGAAGAGAAAGATAAAGCAATTCCTTTGATGTTATTCTGGCACCTGGATCCAGCCAAGCCTGAAGTGGGACTTTTCAGACTTCTCCATTTTGAGCCAATAGTTTCTCCTTTTCGCTCAAACTTATTCTGTTGGGAATGGTGCTAACCTAGCCCGCTTACCGCATAGTTACTGCCTACGTCAGGCTCACTGCCAAACGCTCTGTGTGCATCAGAGGTTGACAAACTACAGCCTGTGAGTCAGATCCAACCGTCCATGTGTTTGTGTGGCCACGGGCTAAAAACGGTTTTTATATTTTTACATGGTTGGAAGGAAATGCAAAGAATAATAAGATTTGTGACACATGAGAGTCAGATGACATTAGTATTGGCACGTGGCCACGTCCGTGTGTCTGCTGGTTGCCCGTGGCTGCGTTTGTGCCCCCGTGGCTGAGCTGAGCAGCTGTGACATGAACTCTGTGTCCCGCAGATCCAAAAAATATTTACTGTCAGGCCCTCAGCAGGAAGAGCTGGCTTATCCCTGTTATATAGCATCTCACTGAATCCTGCAGATTATTATTCTCCCTGAGTCATGGGGCAGGAAAGGGGTTTCAAGTTCAGCGTGGGCCTGCCCGCAGGAAGCCCCAGAAGAGCCAGCCCCAGTACCTTTGATGCGGCCGGTGATGTAGAGGAAACCATGACTGTCTACACGGCCCAAGTCCCCGGTGTGTAGCCAGCCTTCCTCATCAATGGCCTCCATGGTCGCATCTTCCATCTCCAGATAGCCCATGAAGACGTGCCGACCCCAGATGCAGATCTCCCCTGTGCCATCCTTGCTCTGCTGGTACAGCATGTTCTTACACCCAGACATGATTTTGCCACAGCTGCTGGGGAAGGGAGTTGGTGGGGGTGGGGGAGCCCAGGGCTCAGGAGACAAGGTCACCCCCCCAGGTCAGCCTGGGTGTGCAGCCTGGGCTCCCTGCTGGGATCTGCTCTCACCCTCTCCAGGCCCCGGTGGGCATGAGGAAGCATACAGATATTTCGAAGAAAAGGAAATACAGATGGATTTGAAATGTATGCAAAGATTTTTTTTTTCAACTTCACTCGTAACAAAAGGAATGTACGTGAAAGTTGCATTGAAGTACCTTATTTTAAAAAGATTTTATTTATTTGTGTGAGAGAGAGAGAGGGCAGGAGAGGAGGAAGGGGCAGAGGGAGAGAGAAACAGACTCCTCGCTGAGCAGGGAGCCGGATGCGGGACTGGATCCCAGGACTCTGGGATCACGACCTGAGCCAAAGGCAGATGCTTAACCAACTGAGTCACCCAGGTGCCCCCGAGGTACTTACTTTCTTTCATTCTTTCTTTCTTTCTTTCTTTCTTTCTTTCTTTCTTTCTTCTTCTTTTTTTTTTCTTTTTTACCAACTGGTTTAGCACCATAGATGATGTGTATGCAAAGCGCTTGCTTTAGCATTGTTTGTGGCCACACATGATATGGGGAAAAAGCCAAAAGTACCCACCAGTACAAGGACCAGTTAAGTAAAGGCTGGTGCAGGCACCCAGCAAAATACTCTGCAGTTCTGTGTCACGAGCCCAGATAACGAAGGACACCAGGTTATCTGACTTCGTTTGGTTCCCAAGCTCCAGATGGCAAGTCATAGTTCAGAGACAATGGATTCTGTGTTCAGCTTAACATGGAAAATGCTTTTTGGGGGGACAAAATTATGTGTGTCCAGGCACTGCTTGTGCCAGGTTAGCTCGAAAGCAGTGGTGTGGTGGTTTTGCTTCTGGGAGGGTGTCAGGGATTGAAGCGCACCCCTCCCTCCCGTCATGTGTTGCAGGGCTAACCCCCAGCACCTCAGAATATGACCAGATCTGGAAACCGGGTCATTGCAGATGTGATGAGTTAAGTTAAGATCATACTGGAGTAGGGTGGCCCCAAATCCAGCCTGCCTGGTGTCCTTATAAGAAGGGGAGGTTTTTAATTCAGACACGCACACAGGGTGAACCACGAGAAGATGAAGGCGGAGATCCGGGGTAGATGTGTCATCTACAAGACTGGGAGCTCCAGGGATGGCCAGCAACCGCCAGACGGCAGGGAAGGGCCCGGGACAGACATGAACCAGCCTGCCCACACCTTGATCTCGGACCTGTGTTCTCCAGAATTGTAAGAAAAAGCTCTTGTGGTTTAAGTTTTGTGGAACCTTGTTATGTTGGCCTCAGCAGACCCACAGGAGATTTGAGGTGGGAGGGAGGGAGCTTTTCACTGTGTCGCCTCCTGAGTTTTTGGACATGAGCAGTGTAGTCCTCATTGAAAAACACTATTGAAAGGTAGAGGCTGAAACTAGTAACCTTTCACCCAGGGTTGGGGCAGGGTCACTGCTCTTTAGGGAAGGCCCACTCTTTGGTTTTGGAAAAACTGCAGTGGGCATTTGGGTTATGGAAAAAATAGACCTTGGATGGGATGATGGAGTGGAAAGGGGGGAATGTTGAGGTTTGAGGTGCAAAGCTCCCCCCCACCACTCCCAAGGTAAAGTCAAAGGCAGGAGATGGTTCTGCCATATTGGGAAGATTGGACCTAGTTTTTTGCCAAGTTCAAAGGCAGATGGAACCTGAGCAAGCCCTAGAGGAAAGCTGGACCTGCAGTGTGACAGCAGAGAGGGGGTCAGGGAGAGATGGTGGGAGATTCTGTGGCTGTGGGACCCAAAGAGCAGAACTTGTCTTGGTGTTCTTCCTGCGTCAGTGTCATTGGGTTCACTCCTGCAGCCCGGGGCCAGCTGAGCTTGAGAAAGCCAGAAAGGGCCCATGGATGTGTTTGGGATAGAGCATGGTGGAGATGAAGGGTCCGGGGTCTCAAGAGGTGAACCCGGAGTGGGGGAGCCTGGGGAGGGGGTATCTGGAGACAAAACCCACAAGTGACCATGGGGGAGACCATGGAACATTCTAAGGGCCCTTCTTGTCTGTGGGCTATTTGACAAATGGGGGCGCTTCCCTGGTTGTGAAGATTCAGGGCTTGGAGGCTGGAGAACAGGAGTCACTCTGGAGATTCAGGTCAGGGCTCGCCCACCCTCCCACCTATAACCCCCATACCCAGTGCTGCTGGAGGACTGGGGGTCTTCCCAGAAGGCGGGTACCTGTGAATCTTGTAGTTATTGCGGCTGGATGTGGTGTGGGGTCCTGTGCTTTCGCTCATCCCGTACATCTCGCCTATAGGTATGTCCAGGCTTAGGAAGAACTCAGAGGTCTCTGGGTTGAGGGGTGCAGCCCCGCTGATAGAAATTTGGCATTGATCAAGGCCAAGGGCGTTCCTGACTTTGCTGAACACGAGGGCCTTTGCCACGCGGTAGCTCATGGTAGTGTCGTGGACCCTGTGAATAAGAACGAGAAGGGCAGCTCAGCCCCGAACGGGGCTTGATGGGCACCACCGCCTGGAGAAGGCTGAGCCCCCTCACCCATGGCCCTCTCCCTGCCCGGCCACCGCTGGACCCTCCACCTACCCAAACATCCTTTTTGTATTGACCTTTAAGCCAATAATTCTTCCCCATGAAAACACCTTCTTCCTCAAGCTTGAGCATTTGGCACCACTTTCTTTTATCTTCTCCTGCATCTTCTCCCAAATTCGGGGCACCCCCAGGAAGGCCGTAGGCTTTACTTCCAGCAGAGTGTTGATCAGGGTGCCCTGCAAGGGACCGAGCTGGGTTAGCGACACCTGCACCTAGCCTGGGACCCAGATGTTCATCTTCCCCCACCAGCCATCCAGCTCGGCCTAGGAGAAGCTTCTCTCGGTTGATTGGACTGGGGCGAGCGCCCCACCCAGGGGAGCCAACCCACTGGCTGGCTGGTGGCCCATCGCATTTCTCTCTCTCTAGGGATTTGGTGGAGAGCACAGATTGGCAACAAAACCTGACCCCAGGATGCGGCGGAGTGTTGCGTAACTGTTAAAAAGGATTTAAGATTTGTTTCAAAATCTATCTGTGGGCTCAGTACAGTCCCTCTCAGAATCCAGGCAGGCTTTTCTACACAGATTGACAGGCCCCGTCTCAACATTTATACGGAAATGCAGAGGACCTAGAATGACCAAAGCGACTTTGGAAAAGAAGAACAAAATGGGAAGAACTTCTACCCGACTTTGGAATTTATTATAAGGTAGGATGATCGGCTGTCCTGGTTTGCTCAGAACCGAAAGGGTTCCCGGAATGTGGGATTTTAGGTCAAAAAGTTGGGAATGTCCCAGGCAAACCAGGTCAAGGCGATCAGCCTTGCCAGAAAGCCAGAAAAGTCTGGTCAATGCGGTTTTGGTGTAAGGGTGGACGTCCAGTTCAATGGGACAGAACAGAAAATCCAAACATGAGGCTTTAGGCTTTACATTTTGGAGCAATTCACAGTCCGGGGAAGCACCAGTAGGACTCAGTGCAAGGAAGGCTAGTCCCGTCCTGAAAAGTAAAAGCAAGAGCTCCGTTTACTGTCTCCTCACCACACACAAGAGTGAGCTCAGACCGGAGCACCGACCCCAGCAGGAGAGCTTAAAGCAGAGGCTCTGCGGCCCCGGGGCAGACAAGGGTCTCTTGCAGGTGGCACCACACTCATGAAAGAAAAGAGAAGTGACTTCATTAGACGTAAAGATGAAAAGACACGCCACCGGGGCAGGGTTTTTGCACACCGATATTTGGTCAAGCCCAACCATAGGAAGATAGCCAAATTTTAAAAATGAGCAAAAGATTCACACAGACGTTCCCTAAGAAGGTGTACAGCCGGCCACCATGCGCACGAGGAGGCACCGGCCACCGTGTCATTAGGGGGTCCCGCTTCCCACCCACTAGGACACAGCAGCAGTGCCTGTGAGCGGCAGCCCCGTGGCAGTGAGGGTGGGGACAAGCCGGGCCCCTCGTGCGCTCCTGGGGAGCAGGGTGGTGGGCACGAAACGGGGCAGCCACTTTGGAAACCCCGTGGCAGTTTCTTAGAACGTTCAGATCCCCTTATTGCCCACCAGGTGTTGGGTCGGTTGTTTGGAAACTGTTGACGGTATTCGGAGTTGATAAGGACGTTGGGGTGCTTCTCAGGTCCCGGAGGGGTGTGAGTGCACCTGACGCAATCAGCCGGAGAAGAAAGTATTTATCGGGTGGCTGCAACATCTCAGACACCGAGCCCTGGGGTGGGGGGGCAGGGGGGCGGGCAGAGGGGCCAAGGAGATACCAAAGTGGAAAAAAAATGACGAGTCTACCGTGCAAAGAACTGGAGGACGAATCTTCTAGAAGGAATTACAAAGGCCCTAAGACCACCTGCTTGATGTCCCCCAAAGATGTCACCCCAGTGCCCCCTAGAACCTATGAATATGTTTTTTATTTTTATTTTTTTAAGATTTTATTTATTCATGAGAGAGACAGAGAAAGACAGAGAGAGAGGCAGAGACACAGGCAGAGGGAGAAGCAGGTTCCATGCAGAGAACCTGACGTGGGACTTGATCCCGGGTACCCAGAATCACACCCCGGGCTGAAGGCAGCGCCAAACCGCTGAGCCACCTAGGCTGCCCTATGTTCTCTTTTATAGCAAAAGGGACTTTGTAGATGTGGTTAAGAGCCTTGAGACGGGTTTGGGTTTTGGAGCTTTTTGGTGCTGGGAATGCTGACTTAAAAAAACAAAACAGAAAACTACACACACACACACCCATTCTGCTTTCAATACTAGTCACATCGTAGTTTTGGGTTGTTCAGTGTACAATCCGTACAACCATACGCAGCAGCCCTGGCTTGGGTAAAGGTAAACTAAAAGAACAAGGTCAGCTGTTTCCATTGCGCCTAAATGGAGCATAAGATGAGGATAGAGCAGGAACCCCTGAATCGGGCTTGACAAAACCATCCACTGACCCCCGGGGCTGCCCTCGGCCTTACCGTGAGAGCATCTGGCTGAGCAAAGTAGATGAAAGCCCCGATCTTCATGGGTATCCAGACATCCATCATCTGAGCTGCAACGTGGCTGAGAGGAAGGTAGCTGACCACCACCTCCTGCTTTTCTGCGGCATTAGACAGGCCGCAGTTCTTGGCCACTGCCCCGGCCGTCCAGGTGATCTAGAACACAAACCGGGCGTACGGTCCAGGGGGCCCGGTCCTCGCTGGGGGGGCCCTTCTGAATGCGGTTCTGTAAACACTTAGCAACACGCCCTCCTGTGTGCGGGCCCTGCCCCGTCACGCTCTACACACGCGAAGTCGCAACAGGCTGGGTGGGTAACTGCGGTGCTTTATGTCTTACAGATGGGGCCAGTGAACATGCCCGAGGCTGGGGCGAGCTAGGGAGCTGCTAGGGCAGCTTTGGGAGTTGAGCAGACCCTCCCTTGGGTCCAGCAACAGACTCTAGAATCAGAATGTGTGCGTGGAGAGTCAGGAATCTAAGGGAATCAGTAAACTTCCTGGTGTCCAATCCCGTCTCCACTCGTTGGCTAGTTCGGTGACCCTGGGCTCTTTGCTCATCTGTAAAATGGGCACAGGGGCTTCTCGTGTCCAAGAAACAAAAAGGCCACGCAGAACCCCATCACATAAACACCCAACCATTGGCACAAATAGTGCTTTTTTGCTTCATCCTATCCCCTAGCAGATGCATAATTTTGCAGTCTGCATTTTTTTTTAGATTTTATTTATTTATTCACGAGAGACAGAGAGAGAGAGAGGCAGAGACACAGGCAGAGGGAGAAGCAGACTCCATGCAAGGAGCCCAACGCGGGACTCGATCCCGAGACTCCAGGATCACACCCCGGGCCGAAGGCAGGCGCCAAACCGCTGAGCCCCCCAAGGGATCCCCAGCAGTCTGCATTTCTCACTGGTGTTGTGACTCTCTGGGAACCGTTACCTCGCTAACCCAGCTGCTCAGGCCTCCACACTATTCCTCTAACCCACAAAGCATGGTCCTGCCACGGGGCCTTTGCACTGGCTGTTCCTCTCCTCGGAATGCCCTTCCTCCAGCTTCCCCCACAACTGAGTCTCTCTCAAATGTTCCATCTCCACTTAGATGCCATGCCACCTCGGAGAGGCTGTGTCACGCCTCCCGGACTGAAGTTTCCTGAGTCTCTAGGTCCCGTCGCCACAGCCCTGCGTGGCTTTACTTGCTCAGCCCCTGTCTGTCTTCCTGAGGGCCCTGATGGGTTCAGTGCCGTGTCCCCGGCACACAGTGTGGACTTCACATGTTTTCGTTGAATGGTGGAGTCTGCAGAGCGCTGGCCCAGAGCAGGCCCTCAAGATCAGTCCCATGTCTCCCCCTGGGCCTCAGGATGGAGGGATTCTCCTTCTCTCTCCCCGGCCCGGTCGCTTACAGCCTGTGCTCCAAGCCTGTACTAGCAGCCACGTGTTGAGGGAAGGGGCTTAGCATGTGCAGACCGTGGTGCAGACCATGGTGTCCACACTCCTGGGTTCAAGCCCCGGCTCGGGGACGTGGAGCAGGTCATTTCTCCTCTCTGAGCCTCAGTATCCCTATCTGTGAAAGGGGTTAATGACTCCTGACCTCCTGGTAAGGGCTTCAGTGAGGGGTTAACATGTGCCTCTCTCAGCGTGGCACAAAGTACCCTGCCAACGGGAGAAACCTGTTTTTGTTTTTAAATATTTATTTATTTATTTATTCACGAGAGACACAGAGAGAGGGGCAGAGACACAGGCCGAGGGAGAAGCAGGCTCCACGCAGGGAGCCCGATGCAAGATCGATCCCCGGACCCCGGGATCATGACCAGATGCTTAACCGCTGAGCCGCCTGAGCAGGCATCCCAATGAGAGGAACTTTGAGCTGTTGATGTGCATTGCGACTGTTGGGCCAGCTTTGACTTCCTGAATAAAGAGGATGATGACTTAGGAAGTACTAGTAGCCGACACTGGGGCTCCCTGCAGGCCAGGCGTTCTGTGCTTCTGTGGTAGATGAAAGGCAGCCGCAGATCCCCTGCCGCACTGCCCGTCTGGAGCTGGAGTCTGTTTTCCTTTCCCTTCACAGAGCTCTTTTGACCAAGAGAATGGAGTAGGAGTGACACTGGGTAGCTTTGGACATGGAGCCTCCACCTTTGCCTCGGGGGTGCTTGCTCCGGAGGGGACGGCACCCACCACAGCCCCCTTGGGGAACCCCAGGCCACGTGAGACAGGTGGGTGAGTGCTACCCCTCTGGCCCAACCAGACACCAGCTGATGCCAGTGGGGCAACAGAGACTCCCTGCTGAGCCCTGCCTCTCAGTTCCAGGTCCAGAAGTCATACAGTGCTGGGCTTTTTAAGTCTGTGAGCTCCGGACCAGCTTGTTACTCAGCATCGGTTACTGACACAGGACATGGAATCATTCACTTTGTGAGGTTCTAGAAGCAATTCCTGTCTCCATCCTACAGATGGGGACACAGAGGCCCCGAGAAGATGAGCAGCTTGTCCCAGGTCACCCAGCTGGCCAGTGGAAGAACCAGGATTCAGACCCAGGCAGCCTCACTCCAGGGTGTGCAGTTGTCTCCCTGATGGCAGGAGAATATCTCCTCACACCTGAAGTCGCTAGGAGGAGAAACGCCAGCCAGGGTAGGGTGAGGGTCTAATTAGATGCCTTCCATTCATTTATTCGCTCACCCCATAGATGTGGATTGAATCCTCCTGGGCACCAGGCCCTGGAGACATGGCAGTGAACGGGAGAGACAACCCCTGTCCTCGAGGAGCTGATAAATAAGTGACTATATAATAGGTAATAGGTCAGCGTGAGAAAAACAGCCCAAGAGAGATTAGGAGCGAATGGAGCGGTTTATTTTCGTTTGCTGTTTTAAACATGGAAGCCTGGGAGGGCTTCGTGGAGGAGGTAACGTGGGGACAGGGACCTGAAGGAGGCGAAGCAACAAGCCACACGTTCTCTCTGGCAGAGAGAACATGCAGAGGGAACAGCCAGTGCGAAGGCTAGTGTGTCTGGTAACTATTAATCTAGGCTGGGAGGAAACTTCATTTAACAGCGAGCAACCTTTCTGATGGAACCACCATTGCCGGCTGGGTGCACGTCCTGCCAGACACTTTTCTGCGTTTAAATTGTGCGTGTGTGCACACTGCTTGCTGTCACTTTTTAGTTTTCAACGAAAAGCACATTTAGCTCTGTTTATACCATTCTGCAAGTGGCTTTAAAATGTCTGCATCACATCGCCAGTTTTACGCGTCAGCCACGGAGAGCTACAGTGTCTTTAAAAACGTTACTGTGGAGGTGCGCCCAGGTGGCTCAGTGGGTTAAGCATCCGACTCTTGGTTTCGGCTCAGGTCTCGATCTCAGGGTCGTGACCTGCGTCGGGAGATTATCTGGCTCCCTCTGCCCCTGCCCCCACTCTCTCAAATATAAAAAAAAAAAAAAAAAGTGTGCTGTGGGGCCAGCCTGCCTGCCTGGGTTCAGGCTCCACCACGTTGCTCTCTGGGTGAGCTGGGCCAAGTAATAGAACCTCTCTGGACTTCAGTTTTCCCACCTGTAAAAGGAGCCTGATAGAATTGAGAGGGTCGCCGTGAGGCTCTGCTAAGGGTAAAGGTCTCGCAACAGGTGCCTGGCATGTAGTAAGCTTGCGGCACAAGTGAACTGTGACTATCTTTCCTGCTCTTTTTTTTTTCTTATTACAGCTTTATTGAAGTATAACTGACATACAGCAAACTGCACACATGTGAAGTGTAGAGTTCGATGCTCCCTCACATTTGTCTCCACCAGTGAAACCATCACCAGCATCAAGACTGAACATTTATTTTTATTTTTTTTTAAAGATGTTATTTATTTATTTATTCATTCAGAGAGAGCGAGAGAGAGGCAGAGACACAGGCAGAGGGAGAAGCAGGCTCCATGCAGGGAGCCCGACGTGGGACTCGATCCCCGGGCTCCAGGATCACACCCCGGGCTGCAGGCGGTGCTAAACCACTGAGCCACCAGGGCTGCCCAAGACTGAACATTTAGATCACATATTCTGTGATGCCTCCCTCTTGCCACTAGTCTGCCTCCTCCAGGCAGCCCTAGGTCTGCTTTCTGTCTCTGTGAATAAGTTTACATTGCTTAGGGTTTTATATAAATGGAATCTCTTAGGACTGATTCCTGTTACTCTTTTTTTTTTTTTAAATATTGATCACGTCCTGAGCCCAAGGCAGATGCTCAACCACTGAGCCACCCAGGTGCCCCTCCTGTTACTCTTCTAGAACAGTGGTCTGAGTTACTATCACTTGTGGACTCTGTCCAAACATATATTTGTCTTTCCCACACACGCAGCCTTTCTTGAGTAACCAAAACATCAACTTCTGTTTTACTTCCAAAACACAGAATGTACATTCTGCTCTTTTCATCTACGTATTTTATCATCAAACACTGTCCTCTGTCTGCTCTCTACAAATATTAACTCATCTATTTTTCAAAACAGCCCAAGAGGCGGGGACTGTGGTACACAGTCCACACCCATTTTACAGATGCGCAAACTGAGGCTTGGAGACGTTAGCTGTCTGGCCCAAGATCAAGAGCCAGGATTTGAACTCAGGTGTACTCCCAAGTCCTTGATCTCCGTCCTTGCATTATGGTGCCCTCTTAGAACTGTTCCCATGACTCTCCGTGCTTCACTGGTGACGGAGCCACTGTGTGCCAGACCCCCAAATGCCACCCCGTCCCTGTGGGGCAGGAATAGCAAGACCCGGAAGGAGGGGCACTGGCCCAGATGCAGGGACTCTGGGTGCTGCGAGGTTCATCACCGTCAGCAGAGACAGCACTTACGTTGTCATGGCTAAGCATCACTCCCTTGGGATTGCCTAAGGTCCCAGAAGTATAGATGATCACAGCGCACTGATTGGCCCTCTGGCTCTCTATGATCTGGTCCAGCTGGGAATCGGGGATGCTATTGCCAAGTTCCATGAAATCATTCCACTGTGGAAAGAAAAGACAGGCAGAGAGGATGGGGACTTGGGGATGTGAGTGTGACCCTCAGCACACCAGGAGTGCCCCCCCCTCGCCCTGCGTCCAGTCACATCTTATACCATCAGCTTCTCTAAAGCATGATTCCCAGCAAGAGGGAAGGCTTAGGATCACCAGTCCTGGGACCTCTTACAAAAGCCCTGAAATGTTTGCTTCTCCTCCTCCACTTCCTGGCAGGCTATTGGGTCTGGACATGTGACCACAGCTGGTCCAATCACAGTGAAGGTCAGGGCTTTTGCTGGAAGTGCTGGGACAGGAATGAGTCATCTGGACATGAATGAGTCAAGATGTAGCCTCAGGAGCTGCCTGTCACACAGCAAGTAAACAGGAACCAGAGTTCTAAACCAATATGGTCAGACTCCAGGGCCTGTGTTCCCCACTACCTTAAATAGGATGCTTCAAAAGGAACTGTTGGGTTATATGAGCTGAGTATCACAGAGGACCTGCAAAAATTCACTGGGCCCCCAACGAGGCTCTGGATGAGCGCAGTACAGCAAATTGAAGGTGGAGGGCACACAGCATCCTGCAGCGCTGGAGCCAGGAGGATGCCAACTCCGTGACAGTCACAGCTGAGGGCATTTCTGGTGGTTTCAGCTAGAAGGGTGTCGCTGGCATCTAGTTAGTGGAGGCCAAGGGTGCTGCTTGGCATCCTACAGCGCACAGGATGGCCCCACAACAATTATCCACCCCCAAATGTCCATAGCAACAAGGTTGAGAAATCCCACTGTAAGTAGCGATAACAAGGGCGGTTTTAAAAGGTATCCGGACTCCGGGTATTGTTGCTCTGATAGTCACTTTGAACCTCTAAAAAGTCTGTGATTCTAATCCGTTTTCTTCCTTAGTTACTCACCATCTTGGTCTTAATGATTAAGTATTTTCTGGAAGGTACAAAAGCTGGCTAGGGTTTTGGTTGGCCAGACTGGATCGTTGGCCCCTCTTGTCCCACCTGCATGGAGGGCAAACCAAATACACTCCATGATATTGTGGGACTTCTGCTTTGAGTCATGGGTTTGAGGGTCTCAACTCGTGGACGTTAAAAGAGCTTGCCCTGGCCCTTCCCAAGACTCCTGCCCTGACACCCGCTTGTACCGAAACCTTTCCTGACTAGACCACCTTGAGGCAGAGTGCGTTTTCAAAAAAAGGACTATGACAGCATTTATGGTGTGACTGTTCAGTGGCCTTGCCCCTCCCTCAGTAAGAGGTGGTCTAGGTCCCCACCCTGGACCCCCATTCCCAGCAGAGCTTCCCATTGGCCTTTGATGGGCACAGTATGTCGGAAGTGATGGTGTGTGGCTTCCAAGAGTAGGTCATTAAAGGCAAGACACCTTCCACCTGCTGTTCTCTCTCTGTGTCTTTCTCTGTCTCTCTCTCTGTCTCTCTTTCTCAGAACATTTTCTGGAGAGATCTGAGCCAGGAGGAAGTCCAGAGATCCTGAGATCACCATGCTGGAAAGGCCATGAAGAGAGAGAGGGAGGAGCCCCAGCTGCAAGGTCAGGACCAGAGTGAGGTCTAGACACTAAGTCTAGTGCAAAATTTAAGGAGATGCAAACAACAGAACAAAAGGAAAAGAACCTTTGGCAATCAAGATAAATAATATTTTAATGCAATATATTTTAAATTACAACACACACAAGTCCACGATGAATATCAAAAATTTAAATAAAGACAGGCTGCAGTAGGCTGCTGGTCAAGCCATGGCAGAAATGCTCAACCCCATGTTCATATTTGTACATATTAAACAAGGCTTCATGGTTTTAGTGAAACTATTATTGATGACTTGGCGCCCGTTAAAGCCAAAAGTAGACTTATAACAAATTCTGGTTTGGATATAAAGTAAATCTTCATGTGTAATGCTGTGGGTTTTCACACATCTAATTTTCAATGATGTAGTATTTTTTTTTCAGTTGCCTTAATGTTCTGGAAAAAAAACCCTAATGATAAAATGATTGTTGTTGTCTTTAAGCCACCAGTTCTGGGGGTGATTTGTCTCATAGCAATAAATAACCAGAACTCACATTGTCCCATAAAGCGGGCCCTTCACGCCAGGAAGAGAAAAGAAGGCCCTTAAACCTTGTCTGCCTGCCTTGGGGGGCCCGCTTTCCCCTTGACTCAGTGGCCCCCTTCCACACTTACGGAGTACAGGTTATTATTGCTCTCCTTCACTGGCAGCTTGTACTGGATGATCGCTTTTAGGGTCTCCATCCTGCTCTGCGGAATCTGAAAGAAAGTTCCACGTGGGCCTTATGGTGCTGGAGAGACTAAGGGTGGAAGCCCCTTCTAAGCAATCTCCCACAGGGACGCCAGCCTCTCTTCTTCCCCTGCCCACCCGGTACAACACAGCTCTTGTCCCAATTGCTAAGACACAACCTGATTTTAGAACCACGGGGTTCTTTGTGGTCAGTATCAGCCTCCAACCCTTAGGGACTGGTGAAGACAACAGCCTCCTGAGTCGTGCTACACATGCAGAGTTGTGGTTGTTGGTTGGTGAGCCCGCTGCTGTGCACTGTGTGTCCAGGATCCAGCTAGCCTCCTAGCTGGAGTAGGCAACAAAAATCCTCCGTGAAGACAACTGAAACCTGGACAAGTTCAGGACTTTCTACCTAAACCAAGGGCTCCAAGGTTCAGTTGACCACACCTGTGGGATTCTTGTATCCTATTGATGCTAAGGAAGGAATGTCTACAACATGGCTAGCCAATCCAGTGCAAAGTCACTTCCAACATCCAGCATGGTGGTTATAATTATAACCAAGTCTCCAGTGTGGATTGAGAGAAAAGAAGACGGAAGCTCTGGTAACAGTTGGACAGGAGGTTTCCAGAGAGAGAGGGAACAGACATCCAGAAAGCCTGGAGCAGGTAATGGCTAAGGATGTTTGAGGAATATATAAAGTCTCAGATAGCTAGCATGAGGATGAAGGGAGACAATTAGGAGCGGAGACAGGAAAGGATGGTGAGGGCCAGATTGGCCACACCTTGGAGGCAGTGGTGAGGGGTCTTGAGTTTATTCTAAGGAGGCAGGGAAGATCTGGAGAGTTGGAGGGCTGTAAGCCATGGGTAGTGCCTAGAATTAAAGATTGCCAAGTGAAACTGAACATCCAGTTTGGGAGGAGCGTGTCAGAAGCCTGGCTTTGAATCTTCCATACGAAGGGTACACAGTATTTTCTAATGGGGGAAAACCCGAATTGTAAGCCAGTATTTGGCACAAAGGACCCACTCTTCACCTACCACCCATCCCACAGTTTATTCTGCTATGAACAGAACAAACAGGGAATGACATGAGTATCAGGGACCATAGAGGCATCACTTAAGAAAGCAATTTCAGAAAACTCAAGGCTGGAGGGAGAAGACTGTTTTTCTCCCTGAACTAGGTCAGGAATTAGGCATCCAAGGAGGCTTGGTGGCAGAGACTTCTATTTCACTGAGTCTGGCTGGATTTCATGAGTCTGGAAAATCTACCCTAATTTCAGAGATGTTAATAAAACATGGGAAAACATGACCAAAGATGATTGGGAGATACCGTTGGTGGCAAGACACATCTCAACTCCAGAGACATTAAAAAGCAGAGAAGTGTGTAACTCAGAAGCATGATATTGATGCAACAGCCACAGGGCCCTTGGGCTGAGTGGTAAATCTGGCTATCTAGGTTCACCCTCCTGAGGACTCCCGTCCCCGTGGGATCCTCCTACCAAAAGCTGGGTCAGGAAACTGCAGCTCATTCAAACACTGGTAGTTGAAAAAAACTTTCTTTTTTTTTTTTTTAAAAGATTTTATTTATTTATCCATGAGAGACACAGAAAGAGAGAGGCAGAGACACAGGCAGAGGGAGAAGCAGGCTTCATGCAGGGAGCCCAACGTGGCCCTCGATCCCGGGTCTCAAGGATCAGGCCCTAGGCCGAAGGCAGCACTAAACCGCTGAGCCACCAGGGCTGCCCCTGAAAAAAACTTTCTACAACATCCATACAAAGATATTATGAAAAAAAGAAGAGTAAGGGGCGAGCCAAATTTTGTATGTAAAGAAAAGTCACCACAAAGCAAAGGAAAATTCCACCCAACATTCCAACTAAGGTTTGAAACATCACAAAGCAGACACAGCTGGAAAGGAAGAACACAAAGCAAACATACAAACACTGAGGGAAGAGAGAGCCACGCCAGAAAGAGGTGAAGCAGAAAGTGGTGGAACTTTGGAAAGAAATGAAAGAGAGAAACATTTCAGAAACGATGACAGTTACAAAAAAAAAAAAAAAAAGACAATTACAAGGGGTTTATAAACCTCAAAATCATTACATTTCTGAAGGAAAATAAACAGTGGGCTGTATATAAAATAATATATAAACACATTTTAAAAATAGAAGCTTAGGGGCACCCGGGTGGGTCAGTCGGTTAAGCCTCTGCTTTTGGCCCAGTCATGATCCCAGAATACCGGGATCGAGCCCCACATGGGGCTCCCTGTTCGACGGAGAGCTTGCTTCTCCCTCTGCCTCTGCTGCTCCCCCTGCGCTTGCTGTCTCTCTCGCTTACTCTCTGTCTCTCTCAAGATAAATAAATAAATAAATAAATAAATAAATAAATAATAAAATCTTTAAAAAAATTAAAATAGAAGCTTACCTGCTGGGTGTGGAGCCTACTTAAAAAAATAAAAAATAAAAATAAAGGGCATTAAAAATAAAAACAGAAGCTTAGTTGGAAATGAAGTTAATACAAATTGGAAATTAGATCTCCCCCACTCCACCCTGCTCCCCCTGGTTATACCACAGTAGCCGTGGAGGTCGCTTACTGAACCAGAGGACAGGGCCAGCCTCGCCACCCCATCGATCATTAGCATCCACCCATCCCCGTGGGTGACTGACTGGTTGGCAGTGTTTGGGTTTGGGCTTTACCGAAAGGATTTTCTGTAGCTGTAGGTCATTCTCAACCAGCAGGACGTTCACCTTGGCATTAGTAATGACGTATTGACAAGCGTCCGCAGAGTTGGTGGCATAAATACCAACACAGAGACCCCTGGGAAAAGAAAACACATGAGCGTGTGCATGTGTGCACACACCCACACCTTAAGGTGGGAACGTCCTGGAAGGTGCGGGGAGGGGAAAGCTCTTTAGACAAGTTCTGAGTTTGCAGCCTTGGTCCCAGCTTCCCCCTGTCCACAACTTAACTATGATGAAAACAACAAAAATAAGGGTGAGGAAAGCAGCAAGTCCTATGATGTCGTTGTGATGGCGGATCACCAAGCCCTGGCAGCACCCCGTTATAAGATGAGGAGCCTTGGGGCAGTGAAGTCACTTGTTTGAGTTCCCAAGACAATAGATGCTAGAGGTGGGATTTGGACCCCACCTGCTCCCTTCATCCTACTACCTTTTGTTCCTGCCTTTAACCATCCTGTTTTTTAAGTTTGCATTTCCCTGACGGCTGATGATGTCCAACACCTCTTCAAGTGCTTTTTGGCTACTTCCCTTTGTGAGCTTTCTGCTCAAGTCTTTTGCTTATTTAAAATCATTTTGTCAAAAAAAATCATTTTGTCTATTTTTTCCCCTTTAAAGATTTTTTTAAAGTAATCTCTGCACCCAGCGTGGGGCTCAAACTCATGACTCCGAGATCAAGAATCACATGCTCTCCCACCAGCCAGCCAGCCGCCTCTCCTTTTGTCTTTTTATCAGTCAGTTACAGAAGCGCCTTGAGACCTAAGATGCCAGTCCTTTGTCAGATTGGCGTGTCTGTCTTGCCGCCCAACCTGGGGTTGCACCTGAAACCCCTGGTCCAGTCTCAGAGCCCGCCCAGGGCTGCTAGGCCAGAGTAGCAGCTCGCCCACATTCGGAGTCATCCAGGCCCACAGTCTTACCCTGCTAGGATGGCACCAAGAGAAGCAATTAACCACTCAACGGAGTTAAACCCCAGGATGCCAACTCCGTGGAAACGCTGCAGGCCCAGCTGGGAAGGCAAAAGCAAACAAACAGAAAAGAGAAACACAAAGACATTTTGTTTCTGGGTGGGATCTGCTCACTAGGATGTGTGAAAGCAGACTCCAAAACCCATGAGGTCACGTTGGGAAACGCCAGGGTTGAACCTAAAATCTGGAGTGTGATATTTTTGTCACTGTTGGGGGGCTGGTTTGCTTCCCTCTGCATAATGCACCGTTTATTTATTCTTGTTTGTATTTTATTTATTTTTATTTTTATTTATTTATTTGAGAGACAGTGAGCAAGCAAGAGAGAGCATGAGTGAGGGGGGGGAGAGGGAGAAGCAGACTCCCCACTGAGCAGGGAGCTGGAGGCGGGGCTCGATCCCAAGACCCCTGGGATCATGACCTGAGCTGAAGGCAGACACTTAACTGACTGAGTCACCCCAGGCGCCCCTGTATTTTATTTTTATTGTGGTTAAATATATTTAGCAACTTATAGTGCACAGCTCAGTGGCATGAAGCACACTCACACTGTTGTGCAATCATCACCACCATCTGTCTCCAGATCTTTCCATCTCCCCAAACTTCTGTCCCCATGAAGCACCGACCCCCCGCCCCCTGCCCCCCCCTTGGCTCCCACTACCTCCTCTCTGTCCCTGTGGATGGGACCCCTCTGGGGACCTCCTGGGAGTGGGGTCATGCAGGAGGTGTCCTTCTGGGTCTGGGTCCCCTCCCTGAGCCCAGTGTCCTCAGAGCCCATCCATGTTGTGGCAGGTGTCAGGATGTCCTTCCATTGTTAGACTGAATAATAATGATTTTTTGTGTGGATGGACCACACTGTGTCTTATCTTTTCATCCACCAATGGACACTTGGTCGCCTCCACATTTTGACTACCGTTAACAATGCTGCTGTGAACATTGTGTACAAATATCTATTTGAGTCCTTGCTTTGAATTCTTTTGGGAATTGTAGGGTCATATGGTGATTCCACGTTCAATCTTTTGAGGAACTGCCACAGTGTCCTCCATGATGGCTGCACCATTCTGCATTTCCACCAGCGATGCACAAGGGTTCTGGTTTCTCCATATCCTCACTGACACTTGTTATTATTACTTTTTGAAGATAGTGGTCATCTTAATAGGCGTGAGTTTATTTTTATTTGTAATAATGAAAGTACTCCAAGGCTAGCAGTGACCCACTGTTCTTGGGGAAAATGTAAGCATTTGGAAGGCATCTGCCTGCCTCCAGAACGTGATACCTAGTGTTTCTGCTTAGTAAAAAACGGGCTGTCTTCTTTGCAGGTCGACGGTCTCTATCAATATGTAGACAAACCAAGTAATTACTGTTTGGATCCCTGAGGATTAGGGGAGTAGGGATCTTTGAATCCCCAGATCTAAGGACATAGCCAGAGAGGATCAGCTTCCAGGAGAGGTGAATTAATCACAGCACTGTGGTGGAGCAGCCACGCAGAAAGTCCTAAGAGACAGTTATCATCTCCTGGTGAAGACACATGGGTGTCAGAGGGGAGAGGAGAGAGGAACTCAGATCTGGGTCAAAATGTGATCGCATTTCCTATAAATCAAAACCACTGGGCATTCCCTTTTACAGTAGAAGTTCCCTATCATATTCATAATCTATTGCTGCATAACACATCACCACAAACTTAGCAGCTTAAAACAACACGCGTTTATTATCTCAGTTTCCATAGGTCAGGAGTCTGGGGACAGCTTAACTGGGTCCTCTGCTTAGGATCTCCTGCAGCTGCAGTTAAGGTATCAGCAGGGACTGTCGTCTCTGAAGCTCAAGACTCTTCTCCCACACTTGCAGTCTGTTCGCAGTATTCATTTCTCTGTGGTTAAATGACTGAGGTCCTGTTTGCGTCCTGGCTGTCAGCTAGGTCTAGAGGTGGTCTGTTGTCCCCTGCCACACGGCCCTGTCCACAACATGGCAATTTGCTTCCTCAAAGCCAACAGAAGAATCTTTCTTTTTAATGGTTTTCCTGATCAGGTCAGGCCCACCAGAGCATTTGCTGTTTGGATGAACTCAAAGTCAGCTGATCAGGGAACTTAACTCCACCTGCAAAATCTCTTCACCTTTGCCACCACGGGAGGAAAATTCCATCGCAGTAACCCACCAGTCCTGCCCATACTCAAGGGGAGGAGTCTGTCTATACAGTGTGAATATGCCAGGGGTTGGGAATCTTGAGGGTCATTGTAGAATTCGGCCTAACGTGCCTATCAAAGTAGCCAATATTAACATTTTTTTATAAAACCATGTTGGCGGGATCCCTGGATGGCTCAGCGGTTTTGCGCCTGCCTTTGGCCCAGGGCACGATCCTGGAGTCCCGGGATCGAGTCCCACGTCGGGCTCCCTGCATGGAGCCTGCTTCTCCCTCTGCCTGTGTCTCTGCTTCTCTGTTTCTCCCTGTGTCTCTCATGAATAAATAAATCTTAAAAAAAAAAAAAGCCATGTTGGCAAGAATGATAGGTAAGCAGAGTCTCTCACCCTGAGTGGGCATATAGTGGCACTGTCTCTGTAAGAATTCATTGTACAAAGAAGGTTCTCTGTGGCTCCATATATGGTAGCAAAGCCTGAGAACACAGTCAATGCCCATCAATAAGGGGCTGATTGTGCCAATATTGTTACATACAAATTTGCAGTTGCTGAAAAGCAATGGATTTTTAAAAATATATTTTTTTAGTGAATCAGTGTCTCAGTATGTCACTGCTGAGATTAGGTTATGGAAGCTATGGAAGATAGAGTTCCCATCTTGTTCACACTCTTTTTTGGGATCACTCATCCTGGGGAAAGCTGGCTGCCATAGTCTGAGGACACTCAACCCAATGGAGAAGAACAGGGAGCAAGGAACCAAGGCCTCCTGTCAATAGCCAGCCTTGTAAGTAAGCTTACAAGTAGACCCTCCAGCCCCAGTCAAGCCTTCAGATAACAATTTGACTCCAACCTCGTGAGAAACCCTAAAACTAAATTTGGGGTAATTTGTTATGCAGCAGTAGTTAATTTATACATAGAGATTTTTAAAAGCAAGATGCAGGGTGCCTGGGTGTCTCAGTTGGTTAAGCATCTGACTTTGGCTCAGGTCATGATCTCTGGGTTCTAGGATCAAGCCCTGCATTGAGCTCCACATTCAGCAGGGAGTCTGCTTTTCCCTCTGCCCCTCCCCCTGCTTGTGTTCTCTCTCTCTCTCTCTCTCTCTCTCTCTCTCTCTCTCTATCTTTCAAATAAATAGATAATATCTTTAAAAAAAGCAAGATGTAGAATCATGGGTATAGTACACTACCATGTGTGTGAAAACTTGCATGTAGAGACATTTTATGCTATTATACACATAATTTATTCCCCCAAAGGATTTACAAAAAACTGGTAATGGTGGCTGCCTCCATAAGAGAGGTCAAATATTATAGGGAAAATTCTCATCAGTTAACCTTCATATCTTATGGTGCCTTGTGCATTTTATACCATATGTATCCATATGTAGAATGCGTGATTGACTAAATTATGAATGAATGAATAACTCATTTACCTTGATCAAGGCTCTCGCTGCCTTCCGACAAGCTTCGTAGTACTGGTTAAAATTCAGAACTTCCCAGTGCTCACTGTTCTTGGTTGCAAGGGCTGGATACATCCCAAATCGGCTGACCGACTCCCGAAAAAATTCAGGGATGGTTAATGGGGTCTCATGGCCTGGCCCATGCTTTGACAGCCTCAGAAGGACTTCTCCATCTCGATGAATGGTCCACAGCCTAGGTGTAACTGTAAACAGTCATCAGGGTTGGGTGGCAAATATTTTTATTAGTTTAATAACTTTGGAGGAGGAGTGTCCTTTTTTGGGCCTGAAGGGCTGAGTGTTGAATTAATCCCACTCCTTGAGTGAAGTCACAGGGCCAACACCAGCCCATTCATGCTTTCTCTTTCTTATTTTTCCTAACTCCCTTCAACAACTTCCTATGAAAATTTTCACACACACAGGCAAGTTGGAAGGCTGTATAGCCAACACCCTCTTACTCACAATGTGGATTCCACAACTGCTAGTATTTGCTGCATTTGCTTTATCACATCTCTGTCCAGCCATCTCTCTATATCCGTGCATTGCTCCATCTATTTCGAAGTAAGCTGCAGCTGTCTATCCATTTCATCCTTAAATTCACATGCTTTAGCAGGTGAATCATTAACTAGAGTTCCAAATTATTTATAGGTTTTTTTTTTAAGGTAAAATTTACATGCAGTAGACTACATATGCTTTGGTCAGTGGAATGTGAGAAGTGGCTGGTGTGTGTGTCTCTCCCAGGCAGAAGAAAGGCAGAGACATAGCAGAGGGAGAAGCAGGCTCCCTGCAGGGAGCCCCATGTGGGACCTGATCCCAGGACCCTGGGATCAAGACCTGAACCAAAGGCAGATGCTCAGCCACTGAGCCACCTGGGGGCTCCTTCCAGGCAGAAGGTTTAAGATTCAGTGTGTGACTCACTGTACCTCATTCTCCTGCCACAAATATTGTAGGAAGCATATGTAGGGGGAGAAACCTAGTGCCAGACACATAATGCAAGCAAGGAACAAGCGTGTGTTGTGTTAAGCTGTTGAGGTTTGGGGTTGGATGTTACATCGGCATCACCCGGACCACCCTGATACCACCCCTTAATGTGGAACTCAAAACCAGCTTGTTTCCCTTCACCCTTCATCTCCTTTAGGGGTGTGAAGTGGTTGATCCCTAGAAAGAAGAGAAGAGGGTTTCCTCTGGAGAGAGTTGGCATGCAGTGTGTTCATCACCCCCCCCCCAACCATGGGTCAAGTGAGAGAAGATTCTGGAAACCCTCTTGGAGAATTGGGTTTGTGACTCTTGACTTTGTCTGACTGAAATTTATCTAGTAGAGAGGTGGTAGCTGGCTGTGGCTGAGTAGACAGCGGGGTTGGGAGAACACTGCGTGTCCACGTGCTATGGGGTGCTGTTGTTCCCCTTGACTGACATGGACCCCATGGAGGAGCTCCTAAAGGCTTTTGTCTGGAAGCCAGTAGAGAGAACCTGGGGATCCATGTTCAGAGGCAGACACTAAGGAAGGTCACCAGTGGGTGCTGAGAAAAGAGAATGAACTATGTATTAGTCAGCTAGGGCTGCCGAGACAAAGTGCCCCAGCACGAGAGGCTGAAACCACAGAAATCTGTTCTCTCAGTTCTGGAGATGATAAGTATGAGATCAAGGTGTGGGCAGAGTTGACTCCCTTGGAGGCCATGATGGAGAATCCGTTCCATGCCTCTGTCCTAGTTCCTAGTTCCTAGCTATTTGATGGCAGTCTTTGGAGGTCCTTGGCTTAGAGGCATCTCCCTGTGTGCCTGTCTGTGTCCAACTTGACCCTTTTCATATGGACACCAGTCATACTGGGTTAGGACCCACGCAAATGACATCATCATCACTAACTACATCTGCAATGACTCCTGTTTCCAAATAAGTCACATCCTGAGGTGCTGCGTATTAGGGTGCATCTTAGTTCATTTGACATAATACAGCACACTTATAAATAACAGACATTTATTTCTCGTAGCTGTGGAGGCCGGGAAGTCAAAGATCAAGGCACTGGCAGATTCAGTGTCTGGTAAGAACCTACTTTCTGGTTCATAGCGGCTTCTCACTGTGTCCTCACCTGGTAGAAGGGGTGAGGGAGGTCTCTGGGGCTTCACCCTCATGACCTGACCCCCTCCTGCAGGCCCCCACCTCCTGATACAATCACACTGGGGTTAACTTTCAACACATGAGTTTTGGAAGGACACAAATATTCCACTTGGCAGATGGAGTCAGTTGAGGATCCCAAGATGAAATTCTGCTGGTTCAAAGTCCAATGACTGGTGTCTTTAGAGGAGAGGAGAGGACGCCCACCCAGAGAAGAAGGCCATATAATGATAGAGGCAGAGATTGCCGTGATGAGTTTGTAGACCAAGGATCGCCAAGGATTGCCAGTAGCCACCAGGAGCCTGGAGAGCATGGAGCAGATTGCCCACCACAGCCTCCAGAAAGACCCAACCCAGCCAACACCCTGATCTCAGGCTTCCAGCCTCCAGAACCCCGACGGAGGTTCTGTTGTTTCCACCACTCGGAAACTGTCTAGTTGGTTGTAACAGCCCCAGGAATCTGACTCAGTGACCAAAATGAGATTTTGAAGATTACTGTCATTTGAGAATGATCGTAAAAGCTGTCATCCTCACCAACATTTTATGCACTTGGAAGATGGCAGCTGTGAAAGATAATGAAGACGCTCTATCTCATGGTGCTCCCTGCGCTTCGTTCCAGCGGCAGAGTGATTACAACATACAGATGAACATCATTACCACATACCTGCGCTATTTATGTGTTTATTATGTATAGATAATACAAATGTTAAAATACTATACTGCTATATAGTACAGTATATCTGTACTATATTTATTAATATCTGTACGATATAAATGTTATTACATCTGCACTATATACGTTTTTTTCAATTGTGGCTGCACTGCACATAATTACATCTGCATTAACATATATATGAATACACATGCACTATATTATCACATCTGCACTATATATGTTATTACAACTCGCCTATATTGCATCTGGACTGTATATATTACTACATCTGCACTATACATACACAATGGCATTTGCAGCGTGTATATTTATATATATACACACAATTATATCCACAATATGTGTTATTATATCTGTACTTTATATTATTACACCTGCACTATATATATTATTACATTGTATACACACACACACACACACACACACATATATATCTGTACTATATATTATGGTTCCTGGGTGCTTTACCAGGCTGTCCTACTAGGGAGATGTTATGGTCAATGTCCTGTGGCACAAACAATACAAATGAAGTGTCAAAAGAGCAAGCCCCTCACCCACTGTTTCAGGCACCTCAGCCAAAGCCAGGCGCCCAGGCAAGGAGCACCTATGTCCTGACTTTCTGGGTGGGGGGTGTGCTCCTTTATGAAAAGGCTTGGCTGAGTCAATGCATCTTCCTCTTCCCCATGCACACTCTAGCACAACATACCTTTGTTTTTATTCATGTTTATTTGAGAATCCGTAACATTCTCTTCACGAGTCATTGGGCTTTTAGCCTTTTGAGATCTGGAGAGACCATTCTTCATTGTACTGCAAGGCACAAAGCAGGGGACTTAGCGGGGCTGGCAAAGGGGCTGCAAGTCTAAGCCAACTTCCATCCACTGGCCATGTCTGCCTAGAATCCTGGGATCCATTAGTCGTGCCTGTCCTGGACCTAGGAGGGGACGAGAGTGGTCTGTGTGCCAGAGATCACAGAGCAATTTTAAGTCCAGAGGGCCTTCAATCTGTGAGTTTCCAGAAGAGTCTCTTAAATGGTTGGAGCATAGAGACCAAGTCTATATGTGGTCCTGTGGGTGAGACAACATTTTGAATTCTCCCAAGGGAAAAAGAAACCCACAGGAGATTTCTGTTCTTGTTGGTTGCCCTAAAGATAGTACGACATGAAAACCCAAAGGATCTAAAGGAAAAACAGAAAATCTTGCTTCATAGGAAGTTTTTGATTTTCCACATGGCAAAAGAATGCCATAAACAATCACATGATCAACAAACTGAGAAAAAAAATATGGATCACATGCCTAATAAAGGCTTGATTTCTTTTATATGTAAAGAATTCCAGTGAACCAATAAAAAAGTCCAGTACCCCAAGGGGCATGAATAGAAAGTTCCCTGAAAAACACATTTAAAATGACTTTCTCAGTCATGAGAGAATGCATAGAAAATATTATGATGTATTTCACCTGTCAGGTTGACTAAGCTCAAAAAAATTTGAAAAATATATTAGCGAGGATGTGAGGGACAGACACTCTCATCCATTATAAGGCTGAGGCAGCCCTTGGAAGGCAGTGGCCAGACCACACGGTCGCTGAGCCATCCTTGGAGGACAGTGCAGTCTGGCTGCTGGGATCCTTGCATGCTCATTAACTGGGCTCTGTTGTTTGAAACCTTCTGTGTATGATGGGGTCAACCACCGCTCTTTAACCTGGTCTGCTTTTCAGTGGGTTAATCTTTAAATCTATTAATCAACATTCCTTTGAACATTTACTTAACAAAAAATTGATATTTTTCTAGATGAAGTTATGTTCCCCAAAATTCATATACTGAAGCCCTAACCCCCAGTCTGCTTATATTTGGAGACGGAACCTTTAGGGAGGTGATTCAGGTTAGAGGAAGTGATAATAGTGGGGCCCGGATCCAGTAGGATTAGTATTTTTCTAAGAGGAAAGGAAACCAACTCCTGTTCTTGCTCCTCCTTGTGGGGACACAGCAAGGAGGCAGCTGTTTGCAAGCAATGAAGAAGGCTGTCACCAGAAACCAGCCCTGCTGACACCTTGACTTTGGACTTCCAGCCTCCAGAACTGAGAGAAAATAAATTTCTGATAAGCCACCCATTCTGCAGTATTTTTTAATGGCAGTCACAGTGAACTACTACAGTTGCATAGATATTTAGAAGATACTATTAAATGTCATTTAATGAACTGAGGAATTTAACGGACCAAAATTGCCGAAAACATTTGAACATTTGGCCACATGTTTCATTAGTGAAATTCCCCTAAGCATGTAATTAAAATCACAACCCCAGTGTGTAATTTTGTTCCAACCAAAGATGTCCACAGACATCCAGACATCATCAGCAGTCCCCTCGGAGGCCAGGATTGCTGGCTGACATTGTTTGAAAACAACGTGTCTGCAGTTTCCGTGAAGGGAGATTGTATTATCTTGCTCATGACAAGCATATACTTGATACAAGAATCAAGCAGTCCTAAATTCTAGATTTGCAGGTAATTGTTCTCCAAGAGTCAGGGATGCAGCAGACGAGAACCTGACAATTCACAGACTGGCAGATGTAGCTCTGTAAGCTGTGCACGGTTCTGCGCTACCCGACTCCGGCTTTGTAGTTCAATGAAAACGAGTAGCTAGAAAGGCACATTGTGATATGAACCCAAATGAGTCCCTGTGATGTTCATACACACGGAGGAGATCAATCAGTGGGATGAAGCGAATAGCCAAGCACAGCCAATCTGAATGAAGCTATGAACACGCCTGTAAAGACATTCATGAAGTGTGCTGCAGAAGCAGCAGCCAGGAAGTCCAAGGTCTTCCTGGAGCAACTGGATCTGGCTCAGAACCTTGGTGTCACCCTTGATCCACCCTTTCCCCTCCACTGCTCCCTCCTTCCCTGTCTTCTTCTATCCCTATCTCTCTCTCCCTTCCTTTATCCTATCACCCTTCCACCCACCCACCCATCCATCTTTCCATCCTTCCCTCCATCTGTCCTTCCACCCACCCATCCTCATCCATCTATCTACCCATCACCTAACCAACTTCCCTCCCTCCCTCCCCCCTCCCTCCTCCCTCCCCCCTCCCTCCCTTTGTCCTCCCTCCTCTTTCTTCTCTCCCTTGGCTGTTTCCTTTCTTCCTTCCTTGCTTCCTTCTGTCTTCTGCTCTCCTCTCTCCCTTTCCCCAACCCTGCCTTTTGTTCCCTTCTCCCTCTCTCCTTCCTCTCCGTCTCTTTCCCCCACATCTGGCCCATCAACAAATCCCATCAGCTTTGTCTTCAAAATAGGTCCCCAAACCACCGCTCACCTGGATCCCAGGGACCCTGCCCAAGGGTGGATCCCATCAACCACCTTCAACGTGTGGATTCCAGCCAGATCCAGACCAAAGCAAGACATCTGTGATCAGTGGTGATGTGAACACTGACTGGATGTCAAATGCCATGAAGAAAGCATGGTCTCTTTTTAAAGTCTGATCATGGCTTTGGGACTAAGTCAAAGAATCCTTGTCGTGAAAGGATTCACACATGAAATTATGCTGTTTGGAGTTTAAAATAGTCCATCAGGAGCATGGCCACATGGAGAGAACCAAGACCAACTCTATGTTGACAATTTTTGAAGCAAAATAATAAGTACAATTGTTATTGTCATTGGGGGGTGGGTCATGACACTTCCAGCTCTATTTGTTTGTGTGTTTGAAATATTTCATCATAAAAACTGTAAAAGATAAGAATAAAATAAAATGTTGGTCTAACCCTACCCCTCCTCTGCCTGCAGCCCTCCAGAGCTCTCACCTCCCTCAGGGTATAAGCCCAAGTCCTCCCCGTGCCCACAAAGCCCTGCATGACCACCGGCCCCTTGCTGCCCTCCCTTCCCTTCTCCATGGTACATCCCTACAGTGCAACACCACACCATAGAGGATGGAACTGTGGATGCAACAACTTGAGCACGTCTCAGAGGCTTGAGAGAAAGAAGCCAGACTCAAAAGGCCACATGCTTTATGATTCCGTGTATGTGACTTTCTGAAAAAGGCAAAACCGTAATGACAGAGAACAGGTTGGTGGTTGCCAGGAGTTGGGGTGCAAAGTGGGGTTGACTGTGAAGGGGGAACATGAGGGAATTTGGGGGAGGGTGGAAACAGTGACTGTGCTGCTAGTTATACAACTCCGAGCATTTGCCAAAATTCTAGAACTACACCAAAAAATGTGAATTCTCCAATGTGTGAATAAAATGTGCTGCACATCTTATTTTTTTTAATTTATTCATGAGACACACAGAGAAGAGAAGCAGAGACATAGGCAGAGGGAGAAGTAGGCTCCACGCAGGGAGCCCGAGGTGGAATTTGATCCTGGGACTCCAGGATCACGCGCTGGCCTGAAGGCAGGAGCTTAACCACTGAGCCACCCAGGCGTCCCTGTGCTATATGTCTTAAAATGGACAATTGAAAAATGTTCTGTAGCTAACTCATTGGGTTTTCCAGTATCACTAAAGATAAAATGTAAGGAGCAAATAAATTGTTAGCAATCACTTCTTATTTCCTGTTGAAACTTAGTTCTTGCCCACAGTTTGCCAATTATGTGTTAGTTGTTTAAAAGCCTAATCAGGGTGTCTGGATGGCTCAGCTGGTTGGGCGTCTCCTTCCAGCTTGTGTCGTGATTCCAGGGTCCTGGGTTGGAGCCCCACATTGGGCTCCCTGCTCAGTGGGGAGTCTGCTTCTCCCCCTCAATCTGCTGCTCTCCCTGCTTGTGTGCTCTCTCTCTCTCTCGAATAAATAAAATCTTAAAAAAATATAAATAAATAAAAGCCTAATCGCTTTTCCAAGTATGTGTTACGAGATGAAAGCATTCTTTCAAGGGCTATATTTTTATTCTATCAGTTTAAAGAGAAAAATTTCCAAATATATGTTTATCTCCCAGGGATCCCCTATATATATATATATATATATATATATATATATATATATATATATATAATATAATATATTTAAAAAAACATTAACTGGCTGGAGGAAATTTTTGGACCTAAACAGAAATGATGGTTGCGCAAAACTGAATGATCTAAATGCCACTGAGCCATTCATTGTAAAAAACAAAAAAAAAAGTTAATTTTATGTTATGTGATTCTCACCCCAATGAAACACACACCCCAGAGGGGTCGGTTCATGGTTACTGAATTGGAATGTTCTTCAAGACAGGGTATTAAATCAGGAAAGCAAAATTCAGGACAGCATACAAAGAGGTGGCCATTTGTGTAGGTGAATGAGTTTGTATATGTGTTTGTGACACAGGAATGTGTTGTGTCTCTGGTCTCTAAGGAGTTGTTGCCTCCTTGGTGGTCATGAAGTGAAATGCAAGCAATCTGACCCCACTGCTGAAGCCTTGAGAAGGTCTCAGATCATAAAGTCCTCAGGTGGCTGCGGCCATCGGGGGACCTGCCCTGGTTTCTTTCAACCTTAACCATCATCAAGAATCCTTCTTATATACTCAGGGAGGGAGAAGGGCAGGGGTCGATCCTGGGACTCTGCTGTTGTCTTGTCCTTGTGTTTCCTGAGCACCTACTGTGTGCCGGGGGAGTTCTAGACACTGGGCAACAAGACAGACAAAAATCTCTCCTTGAGCTGACATTCTGGTTGGAAAAAACAGCCAGGAAATGAACAGAGATCAATTCAGATAGGACAGGATGAGCCTCAAAAACACCACGCTGAGTGAGAGAGGCCAGATGTCAAAGGACACAGCATCTGATTCTATTTATAGGCAAACGTTCAAAACAAGCAAATCGGTAGAGACAGGAAACAGATGAGTGGGTGCCTGGAGCTGG